GAGAGTGTGGGGAAGGGAGGGAAATGTGTGAAGGAATGCAAGTGGTCAGCTGGAGGCAGGTTACCTGGGGAAAAGATAGATAAGGAGCCTAGACTTTGATCCCTACCGCCTCAGATCCTTCTGACTGATTGATGATGTTGCAAAAATCACCCGGCAACCAGGGGGCAAGTCTAGCTCACAGCAAGCCTTTGTGTAGGGTCCCTGGAGCTTTACCTGGAACATGTGGGAACTCAGCCAGATAAAATAGAAAGCTGCAGACCTTAGTTCCCCAGGAAAAAATAGTGGCAGAAGCCTGGAGTCTATAGAGCTTCTCTGTACCTAAGAATCTTAAACACTTTAGTCATCTAGCCTTGTGTTCTCTCTTGTAATCAGTACATTAAAAATTCACAGGCTCACGATCATAGTTGCACTTTCTCCTCTACAGCTTTCAAAAATCAGCAGATTATTCCAGCTGATTCCACTTAAAAAACCACCACAAAATATCTGTAGTGTGGTCTGACTTGGAAACAAAATGGTTTCACCCATTTGGGTTTCACCCTCAGTGGGTCCCACTCTAATTCCAATGTACCACCCTCTCCAAAGAAAGTGCAGTGTTTTTTCCCTTGAAGCATTCTAATTTCTTGCTCCCTACAAACTTGTGTAGCTTCTGCAAGTCATATGCCACTTGCTTAAGCAAAAACAGGAAACTGGCCACCTGCACAAGGCTTTCTTCAGCTGCTTCTATGGTAAATTTATTATTCATGGATGTGGTGCTGTCAAGCATACCAAGCTGCTCCAAGCAGGCTTCTGGGTAACAAAGCCAATTAGCCTCCCCCATACAGGGTATCCATGTAGCCACAGCCAAACAGGTAGCACAAACTAAGGAGTAGTCATTCAGCAGCCTGCCAGCTTGAGGGTCCTGTAGCTGTGGGTGTTAAGTTTCTAGTATAGATGTGTTGTATATCCAAAAACCTCATTAGCTCTAGCTCTGTGGTCCCTAACATGGAACAAATTTGTTCAATATTAACTCAAGTTGACACTCAGCCACCAGCTCAGGCAGCACCCAGGGATCTTTGGACTTCTCTTTGCCAAGGTCTAACCAAGCCTAATGCTAGTTAACTTTGGAAATCTAACTGGATTATAGCATTGCTATGGATAGTTTGGGCTAAAATGGTATGCATCTTAAGGTACTAACTTGAGAGGCCTCTTCAAGCACTGCTCAACCTGGTACTGGCTACTGGGGATGACCTAATCGGCGACCTAATGATCGATGGGAAGCTCAGTGAGAGCAACCACAAGCTGATCACCTTCACCATCTGCTGTAAAGCCGGCAAGGCAGTCAGCAACACTGAAGTCCTTGACTTCAGGAAAGCTGACTTTGACAAGCTAAGGAGGCTTGTCAGTGAGGCCCTAAGGGACCACAACCCCAGGGGGAGGGGAGTCCAGGAAGAGTGGTTGCTCCTCAAGGGAGCGATCCTCAATGCACAAGCTAATTCTATTCCATCTTGGAAGAAAGGCAGCAAGAGGGCACAGCAGCCCCCCTGGCTCTCCAGGGATCTAGCAAACCTCCCAAGTCTAAAAAGAAAGGCCTACAAAGGATGGAGGATGGGATTCACCTCCAAGGAGGAATATTCTGCACTGGTCCGGTCCTGCAGGGAGCAAACCAGGAAAGCCAAGGCTGCAAATGAACTCCAACTAGCTTTGAGCATCAAGGGCAATAAAAAAGTCCTTTTTCAGATATGTGGGGAGCCGGAGGAAAAGCAAGGGTAACACTGGACCCCTTCTGAACCAGATAGGACAACTGACGCCCAGGAAAAATCCAACCTATTAAATGGGTACTTTGTGTCGGTCTTTCATCAGTCCCATGGGATGCCCTTTGAAAACTCTTGGCGCTCTGGTGTAGTGCCCGAAGACTGGAAGAAGGCCAATGTGGTGCCTATCTTCAAGAAAGGGAGGAAAGTGGATCCGGCTAACTATAGGCCCATCAGCCTGACTTCTATCCCGGGGAAGATCTTAGAAAAGTTTATTAAAGAGGCCATCCTTAATGGACTGGCCGATGTCAACATCTTAAGGGATAGCCAGCACGGGTTTGTTGCGGGTAGGTCTTGCTTGACCAATCTCATTTCCTTCTACGACCAGGTGACCTATCACCTGGACAAGGGAGAAGAGATTGATGTCATATATCTTGACTTCAAAAAAGCCTTCGATCTGGTGTCCCATGATCGCCTCTTGGAGAAACTGGCCAATTGTCGCCTTGGGTCCTCCACGATCCACTGGCTGAAAAATTGGCTCCGTGGTCGGACCCAGAGGGTGGGAATTGATGGAAGTCAATCATCATAGTACCCTGTGACCAGTGGGGTCCCCCAAGGATCTGTCCTTGGATCCATATTGTTCAACATCATTAACGATGTAGACATTGGAGTCAGAAGCGGACTGGCCAAGTTCGCCAATGACACCAAACTTTGGGGCAAAGCATCCACACCTGAAGACAGGAAGACGATCCAGGCTGACCTGGACAAGCTCAGCAAATGGGCGGATGAGAACCTGATGGTGTTCAACACTGAAAAATACAAGGTTCTCCACCTTGGGAGGAAAAATCTGCAGCACCCTTATAGACTCGGCAATGCTATGCTGGCTAGTACTACAGAAGAAAGAGACTTGGGGGTCATCACTGACCACAAGATGAACACGAGTCTGCAATGCGATGCTGCAGCTAGTAAAGCAACCAAAACGCTGACTTGCATCCATAGATGCTTCTCAAGCAAATCCCAGGATGTCATTCTCCCCTTGTACTCAGCCTTGGTGAGGCTGCAGCTGGAGTACTGCATCCAGTTTTGGGCCCCACAATTCAAAAAGGATGTGGAGAAACTTGAGAGAGTCCAGAGAGGAGCCACGCGCATGATCAGAGGCCAGGAAAACAGACCTTATGACGACAGGCTGAGAGCTATGGGGCTCTTTAGCCTGGAAAAGCGCAGGCTCAGGGGTGATCTGATGGCCACCTATAAGTTTATCAGGGGTGACCACCAGTATCTGGGGGAACATTTGTTCACCAGAGCACCCCAGGGGATGATGAGGTTGAACAGTTATAAACTACTGCAAAACCATTTCAGGCTGGACACAAGGAAGACTTTCTTTACTGTCCGAGCCCCCAAGGTCTGGAACAGCCTGCCATCGGAGGTGGTTCAAGCACCTACATTGAACGCCTTCAAGAGTAAATTGGATGCTTATCTTGCTGGGATCCTATGACCCCTGCTGACTTCTTGCCCTTCGGGCAGGAGGCTGGACTCAATGATCTTCCCAGGTCCCTTCCAGCCCTATTGTCTATGAAATCTATGGAGGCCTCTACTTTACTGCTCTGCATTTTGTTAACCAAGCTGAGAGCTCCATGCAGTACCAACCCAATATACATTTTAAGTATTCTATAGAAATATCTGCTCTGAATATAAAATAGCCTTTGCCTGTTGCTTTCTGTTAGTGACCAAGAACACACACAACAGTAGTTCCGTCTTGACTTTACTGGCACTACCTTTTAGGAAGTTCATCTCCCACCTGTTAATTTGGTGTCAAGAAAGACAGAAAACATTAAAATGACAGGTCAAAATATTCACCTCCTTCCTTTACACAAAAATCAAAGAAGAAATGACACAATCCATGTTGGCAATCACAACTGTAAATAACAGTGCATAATACATACTTCTTACATAGTATATTTGTATACAGGCACATTAACATCCACTGCACTTGAAATCCAGATGATGGGCCTCAGCTCCAGTTCAGTTTAAACAGTGCACGAAAAAACGTCTGGTAAAGGTTGAAAATGGAGTTTCTCCAAAGGCTCAGCTTTCCAACCCATTACCTCTCTTCGCGAGATCATATTTTGAGACAGCCACTCTGCCCTGCTATCGTAGTTATGGGGGCATAGTAAAGAAGTCATAAAATTCATGGAAGTACTCTCTCACACTGGGAATTGTAATCGGAAACAGAAAGGAGAAAGCATGAAGGTCTTGGGTCTAAACTCTAACAGTTTCGAGACATTCTGTTAACAGATCACCTTCCCATTTTGCTGCAAGGTCTCCCCGGTAGTTCAATACTATAGATGTAGTTAGATTATTTGGTTTCATGGAAATTCTCACATAAGATGTAAGCAATGGGTTTTGTGTTTTGGCTTTCCCATGGCTTGTTTCCTGGGTTGCATATTTTACTAGCAGCTGCTAATGAGAGTGTACAGCTACAAGAGCTGCCTACAGGTTTCAAGCCTGCAGTACTTTGCCAAGGTTTCCCTGCCAAAACCTCACCACTTCCAATTATGGAGCTGAAATCTTTAAAATAAACATGTTCACACAGTTCTCATGAAGGTGTTTACTATAGAAATTTCTTCAGAGACAGAATAAATAAAACTGAAGAGGAGCAAGTTATTTTTGTAAAAATGATGGCTCAGGAATAATCTTATCTAGTTTGTTCTAGGATGGAACAAGATCCCCTCCTAAGCCAAAACTTTGGTCTTTTCCTACATGTAACAGGCTTGAGAAAGAAAATAAAAGATGAAAAGCCCTTGCATGGTTCTTTATTGGGAATGAGGGCACCAAGGCTTTGACGATATGCAGAGCAGTTTAGAATCTGTAATTCTTAAGCTCTTACAAGATGTGTATTAATGAAGTCCAAGGCACACGTTTTCACACTATTGCAGCAGCAAAAAAAAAAAAAAAAAAAAAATCAAAATATTTAGTAATATCTTGACTCCATAAGGCAGCTGATCCTCAGTCACCACAGAAAGAGGAAAGCATTCTTAAATGAAAAGACTAACCGCTCTGCTTAAGATGCAAAGCTAATAAACAGAATCTATGTACAAACTGGTGAACTTAAAGACATTTATGTGTCAAACAAAATATATGAGTTAGCTCTTCCTTTTTTTTTTAAACAATAGAACTTAAACTATTTAATATTCCAACATTTTAGGTCCCTGTGATGATAGCATCATGGAATTCTGAATTTAAAATGGGGAAGATAAGTAAATGAGTTCATCATTTTAAAAGGTTTTATTTTCTAATATGCAAGAACATCTGTAATGCTGCAGCCTGAAAAGCTAGTTCCTTAATGACCTAGGAACTGAAAGCTTTGCAGTCATGTAAACACACCATATACACTCGCACACAAGCCTCATCCCCAACATGTTCTCCTGACATTAGGTGCGCATACTGCCTACTGGCTGTTCCTCTTCACCACCGAGTGGGTAACTGAGATGGGCTTTTCAAACTATCTGCTAACAGCACTGCACAAGCATGCTACTCAACTCCCATTATTTAACATGATCTCAAGTGCCCAAGCCTTTGCACTGCTCTGCAACGGCAAAGCCTGAGAGAGAACTAGGTAAGAATAGTTCTTAATCCATGGCCAGTCAGCATCTTTCCTCCATCAGGGAAGGGTCAGGACAGGTGGGATTAAACTAAGCTGCACAGTTGATATCTTGTGTTCTTATCACCCATCACTTGCAAACACACTTCACCCCACACAAAACTTATTTTGGTTAATGGCTATACCCTATTCAGTTCTTACTTGTACATTCAAATCTTATATTAGCTCACCAAAATCCCAGTCCTGAAGTACTGAGTATGCTGAACTCCCACAGTAATCAGTGGGATACTCAGGACCCTACACATCTATTCTTCACCTTGGTTTAAAAGTTGAAACAAAAACCAAGGACACTGTTGGGCCCAAATGTTAATTCTGCTAGCTTTATGATCATCTAATGAAGAATTTCTCTGGAATCTATGTACTCCTGGAGTGCATGATGGTGTACATTGGCTATTGGAATCTGTATTTTAATTTTAAAAATGATGGCTAATACACAGACATTTGTTTAAGGCTGGTAGACCTATTATGTCAACATATTTGGGTATTCCATTTGCTGTTTTTAGTTTAACTGCCCTAAAATGAAATGCTTGCCAGGAAAAACATCTACGATTTACCAAGCTGATTTGAAGTTTTCTGGGATCTCTTCAGAGTACAAGGGGACACAGGGAGTTCCCTACATGGGCCCAAAAGCCCCAAGTCTTTAAAGAAAGATTATAAATGAAACAGCATTTTCTTTCAACATCTACAGATTTGCTGCAGACAGTGGGCATCAGCCCCACATTACAGTCATTTAGCTAGACAGAGAACATTTCACATGAATTAGTGCAGCTTTTTGCAGCAACAAATTCCCTCTCTCTAGTATCATCCTAAAGTGCTTCTTTTCTTCTTAAGGTCTGTGCAAATATTACTGCAGATGCAAAATAAGTTATTTTTGAAAGAAGTTAATGTCTAAAGCCTGTCATTAAGTCCTCTTTAAATAAAAGCAGGAAAGATATCAATGACTACATGACCCACTTTCACTGCTAGCATGCAAGCTAATAAGACGGCATTTCTCAGTCTTCCTTCCAGTCACAGTCCTTTCCCCTTCTCTCTCTCCGACTCAAAGACAAAACACCAACAATCACATTAAGCAAACTCTGAAAAGGCTGTGACCTCCTAACATCCTCTACTATACCTTCTCTTTACACATGGAAAGAGAACAGCAAGAGAGATTTAGGATTAGATGAGACAAAGCATGTCATAGTGTCTTGGGCACACCCCTTGGCAAGAAAGGCATTGGGTTCTGCAGTACAGGTCGTCAACTTCAGTTCTCTTCCGTGTAGAGACTTCCCAATGCACACATGACCATTCTGAAGGAGTTTCTTTGAACCTGTGTAGTAATCATTTAGCTTCTAGAACACCAAAACTGTCCATCTCCCAAGGAAGTGTAATAGTATGGTCTTCCTGGAATGATTTACTCAGAGGATACAAAGATCAAATCCATCTTTCCTCTACTTGCACCTGTGTCAGATGGGAAAGATTTTCAACCTACACCCCTGTATCAGAAATCACGTCACTCCCCCCCCCCACCCCCCATGACTGAGCAAATCTCATCCCCTGTGGAGCTGGGAAATCACCAGTCTTGCTAGCTGATCATGATAAGCCAGAGAAGGGGGTAGGCTGAACTCCTGCACAATGAGTCATTCAAGATTTCAGACCCATTTTTTCCATCATCTGTTCATATAAAGTCCATGCCATTGCTGCCATCAAAGTACGCCTCAGAGCACGGGGGAAGCCACCATGGAAGAAGCCAACCAATCCATAATCCTTGAGGAGACAGAAAAAGAGAAAAAATAATCATCTCATCTTGTGCTGTTTAATTCCTATTTACTGGACAGAGCATGCCAGGACTGCACTGAAATATGTTCTATATCATTCCATAGTACCCCAAAACTCTAAGCTCATGCAGCACTCAAAGGGACAGGAGGAAGAAAAAGATCACTAGGATGAGCAATTTCAGTACGTCCTGCTGATGAAGGAGCCACAGGAGTTGGGTGGTGAGTACACCACAAAGCTGAGACTACTGGGATGGTAGTGGAAAAAGGAGGAGAAATAAGGGCAAGAGAGCCTATAGGGAAAGCCCTAAGTCTGCAAAACAAAAGAAGGGGCACGGACAAGAGACACCAACCATTTCAGGTCATGTTATAAGGCAGCTAGCCACACTTTAACAGCTGTTATGTACGGAATTCTATGCTATGCATTTCCAAGCTCCTTATTAATATTCTTGAAGTAGACAGAGAAATTCTTAACAGGCACAAATATACTGTAGGACAAAAAATCCAGATTCAAAACTAGACTCACAGTCCGGAGACAGGATTTGATATGGACCAGAGCTGAAATTTTTCATTCTGATCATTTGTTCCTCTTGCAACATGAGAAAAAATTTTGCCAAGGCACCTCATTACCTCACTGTACCCACTTTGATCTCGTGTGCCTGTGGAATTGCACTGCAGGAATTGAGAGACACATCTAATGGACATGCAACTCCACTGGACTTTCCAGGGACAGGAATATGGTAATTTTTTTTCCACTGCCACACTCCCAGTTCCCTGGATAACAGATCTGTACATTCATTAAACTTTAGCATTCAAAGGACAGAGAATTGTTTTATAGCTTATTTATTGAGGCACTGGGTCACAAAAATCCCTCTACTTCACAGTGTGGCAACCACTGAAATGCCTGTGCTGATAAACCAGAGATGGCAGCAACCCAAGCAGAGGACAATCAGTTCATACAAGGTTATTTGTTCACACAGTTAAGGTAAAATCATCTAAGTACGTATAGTCTGTTATTAAGAGTCCAAGGGTGAAAGTGTCCAAGACAGTACCAGTAAGATCTTGTCTGCTCCTGATGACACTATCTAACATGAACTGGATTAAAGCTGTCTACCCTTTTGGAGCAGGTATCACACTTGGCTGAATGTAAATTAGTGACTGAAAACTGAAGACTCTATGTCCCATAGTGTAAAGCAGAGTAATCACTTTAGAAGCTATAGCAGTATCATAGCAGGGTTAGATTATATACCTGATAATCAGGGATAATGGTTTTCTGTGTTTAAAAGTGTTTAATCAGAGTATTTGCACGCTCCCCTCCCCCCAAAACCCATGTTTTTCCATGATTAAGATGAAATGCCACTATAATTATATAGGTATCAGTTGAACACAATGTTTTATTGATATATATACAATTTTAAAGTAATTTGGAAGCCTACAAGTGTTTCAATCACTATAATAAAATAAATTCTAAATACCTACAAATATTGGCATTTGATTTTGGGCTCATCATGGGGGGAAAAAAAAAAAAAAAAATCAGAGCTCCCCCTGCACCCTTCGATCACCAGGACGGGGGTTCAGCTACAGCTGTTCCTCCCCCACTGCTTTGTGGTGCTGAGCAGCCCCAATATGCCGGTGCCTGGCCCATGCCATTGCCTCTCACTTCCCACCCACAGCCACCTGCCCCCTCTAGCCCTGCCAGAGGAGGCCCCCAGCTGCCAGGGACCTGGCTCCACAGCCCCCATGCACACACAGCAGCACCCAAGCCCCAGCTGCTCCCTGGGCAGCACGGCCAGAATGGAGCCCATGAGGGTTGGTAGGGGGCAGATATGGGCTGCCTGCTGCAGGCTTGGCCAGGGCAGCGGGGCTGGCTCCCTACCTCTGTGATCAATCTCGGGGTGGGGCACGGGGGGCAAATGACACCCCCCCCCCAGTGTCTCCACAGCCCAATAGGCAGGACCCAGCATGGCAGGGCAAGGTAGATTGGGGCCAGGTGCTACCACCGCGAGCCCCACACCACCATGGCAAGGTACCCTCTGTGCTGCCACCCCCATTACTGCCGGGTAGGCAGGGGGCACTTCACCATGGCAGCGTGGCAGCCTGCCCCCACGCCACACACAAATCTGGGGGGCATTTGTTCCCCAAGCCCCACCCCAGGAATGCACACAGTGAGGGAGACAGCCCCCACCACCCCCTAGAAGAGCAATCTACAGCTCCGTCTTGCTCCCTGCCTGGGCCCTGGTACTCTGCCAGCCTGCCAGGGGAAACCCATTTCCCAGGTATTTCTCCTTAAAATGAGAAAATCCAGGTTTTGCCATGTTTTTAAAACAAACGCAGCCTCACCTTGTATATTAAGGCAATGACTTGGCCTGTCCAGCGGTATTTTTCAGGTGACAACTGCATGTGAGTTTTGATAACATCAGCAGGTTGAGTAGCCAAAGAAGCCAGGATTCCTGCGAAGATCCCACAGCTAAAGTTCACTAAGGGGATGAGGGCTGGATCCAACTGATCTGAAATGGAACAAAGAGAAAAACTTCTTCTACATACCGCTCAATCTTACATTGCAATACATTACTTTTCCTACCATCTCTACACCACACTGAACAGTTGTTGAATTATTAAATAATGACAGAAATAAGAACCTTTAAAAGGAAACTAGGAAACTAACAGATGACTCAAATTAGTATTGGTGTACATTAAAAGGGGAAAAAAAAAATCACTTCCACTGAAACTGGATTTGAGATAGAGACCTAGAAATAAAGACTGAGTGTTTTGAATGGCAGAGGCTGCCGAGGGGAAAAAAAACAAAACAAATCGAGCAAGTCATAATTTAGTAGAGATTGCAGAAATGGAGAGAACTATACAGTGTATAAGAAACTGAGCAACTGACCACGTCACTGAGCAAATTATTGCTGCTGGATTTTCTGCCTCTTATAAAAGTTCCGAAACTGAAACTCTGGTGTTGCAACTGATCACACCAAAGCATGATGAGATCCATATGTAACCTAGACTAAAATCCCTTGAACACCAACATAAGGCTAGTTCATCCTTTCATGTGACCTCATTCAGGACAAACTTATAGTTCTCTGGAAGTGACAGAGAAAAGCACCGGCTAAGTCCTTTCAGAGATAAATTTCACCTCCCGAGACAAGGACAGAATAATTAAAGCAAAATGAACTGTATCTTGAAAGAGCAGGGGGTAAGGAGAAGGAGGATTTGTGTTATCATGTGCATGTTCAGCCTTACCCTGAGGAGTGATTTTTTTGGTCTGTGTGTAGAACATCAAGTAGATGCCCGAGAAAGGTGCATCCCGCAGGAGTGTTGCTGTCAGCCCACTGTACAAGCCACGAGCTCCTTCTGTTCGATAGATATTCCTCAGGGCTCCATACACACTCCCATAACCATACTTTCCACTCTGCAGATGGCACATAAAACCAATTATTAACCTTTCAGATACAGTGCCTCCTCAAGGGGAAAGCTTTAATGTAAAAGCATATACCTATAATCAATGGAGCAATCGTTTACATCACTGCCTCTGGGTGACACCACAACAGGTAGGCAGTTATACCAGATACCCAGAGGCAGAACCATCAGAAACCAACCACATTTTATTAAGGTCAGCTTCATACACTGTAATTAGCACATTTTCCAGACACAATCTGAAGCATATATAATGTCAGGTGGGATGGAACAGGAACTAGTCCAGAGACACCCCATGCCAAACAGAGCTGCAGCCTCACTAGTGTTAACAGCAGAACTTCCAATATGCTTTTCCATAGTTATGCTACTTTTAACTTGTTGGGTTATATAATAGTTACATTACTGTTACTTTTTGTTGACAATTAATATCTTCTGCTCCATCCATTTTCATCTGATGAAAAGATTAAACCCAATCCTCTCAGAGAATTAATCATGTTGCCTCTACAACAGTTCCCAGAAGGAAACAAACTACTAAAAGTGGAATTTGACCCTTATCTCCTGCACAACCAGTACTATGAAGCAAACTTGTGCAATGGAACTAATCCCGAATATCCAGTAATAACACTCTATCTATTTATTACTAACAAGACTTAATGCCCGAGATAGTTTACTTGCCCTCCCTTGCCATGATGGTATTCAAAATATTTTACCCACTCATGAGAGAGTTCTTGCATCACAAAAGCAGTAAGTACAATTTTTCAGTCTAGCTAGCATTTTAACTTTGCTTCTTCTGTGTTTAGGTGCTCAAATGCTGCACAGAGGATCTCCACTTCTTTCTCTCACTCACACATCTCCCAAGCAGAAGTTCCATTTTGTTATAGGAAGGGGCATGGAATCAACACAAAAACTATCAGAAGGGTATAAGAGGAAAACAAAGACTTACACTTACCTCATACCGTGTCTTTACTACAGTTATGGGCAGCATGCAAACTCCTGCTACCGTACGAGAGCTTACTCCCAGAAAGACCGACTCTAGCGCTGTTGGGGAGCAGTCCATAAAAAACTTCTGCTTCATCAAATACAAGGTGCTGAAGTAAATCCCAACTCCAGGGATGCATCTTGCAAAGGACTGCAGAAGAGTGAAAATTGGAGGTAGCGATTTACCCCTTCTCATGTTCTATGTAACATTGTGTTAAAATTTGCTATGAGGCAAAGGAAAAAACTGGTACACTGCAGAAAAGTGAGATGAACAGAAATCATTGCAATCCCCAACAACGTGCACACTCAACAACTGACATGAGTTTCGGCTGGTGCACCACCACTACAAATATATACTCCAGGTTTTTATGGCAAGATTTAGGTGCTGATTCACTGAGCACTGTAAGACCTAAGTGACTCATATGGCTAAGTCCCATTCTAGGCACTTAAATAGCTCAGTCAATTGGCCCCCAAGTCACTTAGACATTTGTAGCAGTGAGCAAAGCAGCACTTCCAGACCTTTAACAAAAGCTGAACCATAATTACCACTTGATGGTGGGTAAAAAAAAAAAAAAACACACACACACACACACACACACACACACACACACACACACACACACACACACACACACACACACACACACACAGAGTAATAGTCACTTACTGGAGAGGCCCCTTTCCAGAGCCCCAGGAGGCTTTCAGTGCGAACAACTCGAAAGAGCAAAGCAACCATCCCCACACGATGTGACCTGGAATTAAAAAAAAAAGAATTAAGAGACTGTACTAAAAATGTTCTCCCTGGAACCCACTCTACAGCCCAACCCTAGCCCTACTTCATCCACCCAGGACTTCCCAAATATACATCTATGTGCATTGACTACAGCACTTCAGAGCCTCCACCTCTACTCAGCCATTCCTCTTTGTCCAATCAATGCTGTCTTCTTCCAAGATTCACAGGGCCATGGTCATTCCTACTGCTTATCTACTGATTATGACATTTCTTCATGATAACCCCATAGGAGCAACTAAGTTATTGGTGACACTGTCATTCATCATCATTGGAGTGGATTAATAGCAGGCATTATATTAGGCAAATGGACACAGCTGCCTAAATTTGATACTCTCCTCACACCTTATGTCCAGAAAAGAGTATAGCAGTTGTACAGGATTCTCCATAATATAATAGTGTGGAAGGGGACAATCTCCCAGGCCCAGTCTGGCCCGCCCACCTGTCTTTGGGCAAGGTGCCCACCTTACTTGTCTGCTACGCCTTGTTGTAAATTAAAGATGTTAATTAGGCGGGAGGCTGCCTTTCGAGCGCCCTGATATCCAAAGGTGGTAAACACATGACTCCTAGCCTTTCGAGCGCCCTGATATCCAAAGGTGGTAACCCCATGACTCCTCCCTGCCCCTATTGTATCCCATGCCTCGCTGATGTTCCCATGAGTTGTCCAGCTTAAGGCCAGGCCCAACTCAGCTCAGTGTTAGGCTTCTCTCGTACTGCCCTATACAGTGTTTAACACACTGCCGTATACAGGGCCTCTAGCACTCCACCTGTTCTCACCAGGCCTCTTCCGCTCATGCCCCCTTTTGGGCCTCATTCACCCTGCCCTAGTCCCTTGAGCAATCTTGAAGGGTCATCAGGCTCGACTCTGCACTCCTCAGCCAGCCCTGGCACAGACCTTTGGGCCTCTCCCGCGACCCTCATATGAACAGTGGCTGGGGAATTAGCCAAATACTGGGCCAACTCCATCCCTGGCCCTCACCAAGTAACACAGCCCACTGGTTCTCAATTTGGGGCTACTGACTCGCCCCTTTCACTCATGGCTCTCTCTCTCTCTCTGCCACCTCACTCAGCCTCAGGCCCACTTGCAGCCCCAGGCACCCTAAGGCTTACCTGGATCTCTCTGCCCCTTTCTCCCAGGGCCTCAACCTCACTCTTTCACCCCTTTCTGGGGCTCCAGAGACTTGCAACTCAGTGGGTCAGGTGCCCCTTGCATGGGCGTGCCTCGCCCCACTACTGCTCTCTGGGGTCTTACACCCCTATGGGCTCCGGTGCCACCCTTGGATGTGCCTGGCCCCACTACCCACTCTGGGATCAGGTGCTTCCCATTGGCGTGCCTGGCCCCACTCCCCTCTGATGTTATAACCCACTAGGATGGTGAGGGCTGGGGTTAATACACCCCTACCAGCCTTTCACCGGGGAGGTAACTGGCCTGGCATTTCTTGAGGACTCCCTCACCACAGGGAGTCCCACCAGGCCCCCTTCCCTGGCAGGGTGCAGTTTCAGATCATGCCCAGGACTAGGAGTCTCCTGCCATCCCCATAGCTCCTGCCCATACCTCCCAGATGTTCTATGAATGACAGGGCAGCCAAGTGGTGTTGCTCCTTCAGCTGCTGGCAGCAAACTGTTTCCCAGTCCAGAGAGGCAGGATCTTAAAATGGCCACCTCATCAGAGCTGTCCTGCACCTGTCCACTGCCTGTTCTCCTCCTGCCAGTGGCAGGCACCAAAGGTGCTCTGCCACCCCCCTTCCCCCTTAAAATTGGTTCCTGGTGGGAAGGCTTTTCCCTGATGCTCGCAAAGCAGGCTCACTCAGAGCCAGCAACAGCCCTTAAGTGGTTAGCACTCTGCTTGTGCTTCGCCACAAACAGACATCCAGATAAAAAACTGGATTACCTGTGGCATGGAAAAGATAGGACAGAACTCTTGGGAATAGGATTTCATTGCCATCTTTCAAAAATATTAAAGCAACACACCATACTGTTCCTCATACAGACACTGTTCTACAAAAGCCCCTCTCATCTACCTGCTCAGCAGCAGCAACTTCTGACTGATACCCATCAGCTCTACAGCTTAGCCAACAAGAAAATGAGACAATCATGACGGAAGAGGCAAGCACTTACCCATTGATGGATGGCTGCAAGGTCTGCAGCCGGGTTTTGATCAGGTCTAGGGGCTGGAATAGAAGCGTGGAGCAGGTCCCACTGATGGAACCACATACAAAAGCCTTCAGCACTGGATGCATCTGAAAAAGAAAACCGGACTTTTCAAAAACCCATCATAAAGGTGGCAGCTTTGTTAAGAACAGTGCAAGAGTTAAAAAGCCAAGTGATATGCTACACAGCACAGAAACATAGCATGGAGGGATCTCCTGCATCACTGCACCAGTTCCATGCTGTCTCAGGCAACCACTTTCAGAAACCAGTTTCAGAAACTGACCTAACTCCATCTCGGAAGCAGTAAGGTTTTTGGCCCCACTAGTCCTACTGCAAGCAAGATTCTGGAACAGGCTCCTTTCAGTTACAAGCCTGTTTCTCGTTTCCAAACTATATTTATTTAGAACCATTTATGACCAAATCTGGTGTCAGCGATGTCCTGTTTTTTTCTCTCCCTAATGTATTTATAGCGAGAAAGCATATCCCCACTCAGGCATTGTGGGATCTTGCCAGCTATCTGGGATCTGAACACTGGGCTCAATATTCTTCTTGCAGTTCCTTCAACTTCATGACTCTCCAGTGCCTGATACAGAAGAACAACCTACTCTAAACAGGCTACAAGATAGTGATTGGGGAGCCTGCGACAGTGCACCTGAGCTTCAGTGAGTCTTTTACCATAGGATAAGTGACACGCATAAGCTATCTTACTGTAAAACCTGCAAGGCTAACTTGTCTCCTCAGCAAGAAAACCAGACTGTGGAAAAGCAGTCTTGTTTTTCCCGTCACATCACTTTAACAGCCAAAAAAAACCCATTAAAAAGAAGTTTAAGTAGTCCACAAAGAGACTTATTGTCAATAAAGCAACCTCACGAGATTTATATGAACAAAGAGTTTCTATGCCCTCCAAACAGCCGCATCAAGTAACACATCCTGCTAACATAACTTTGGCAAGGGGACCCACCCCAGGAACCTTGTGACAAGCAGGTTTTCAGCTTCTCTCAAAGTGTTTTTTAACAGCAAGTCTTCTTAGATAAATTATATCCAAGTAGCTTCTAATATTTAATTGGGATCATCTCTCTCTCTCTCTAATAGGTTGCAGATGACTCCTCAGATTTCTTGAGGATCACTATTCTTAGAATATTAAACATCAAGATGCCCTTCCTCCCTTGGCAGCTGACTCCCACTAGACATCTGTGCATCCAAGATAACAACAAGCTCTTTCATAAGAATGGGAAAAGTGGTAAAAAGGACATGGCATTTGAGCTCCCTTAGACCAGCATTTCTCAACCCGTGGGTCATGACCCAAAAGAGGGATGCAAGAGTATATGAAATGGTCACGAACAAAAATAGAGTTTCCTTTAAAGGAGAAAAAGTGTGAAACAGTAGTTTTCCCCTTGCAGGCTGGCACTGCTTAGGGCCCTCCATCACCTATACACCTACCCTCTGCCCTACACACTGGGGGGGCTGGGACCTGGGGGCAGCAGGTCGGGAGTGAGGGGCACTGGGTCAGGAACGGCCACTGATGCTTACAAATGGGTCTGGTACAAAAAAGGTTGAGAACCACTGCCTTAGACAACTGGGTTTCCCACATATGCAGTCCCACTCATGCCAATTCTCACTTTCTTTTTTAAAAAACAAACTAGCCAGTGTTTTGTTCTGAGGACAGCAAGGGAGGTATTCTCAAGTAATGCAGAAGGCACAAAGGCTTCTTAAAATCTTGCCATACTTCTCAAACCTGAAAACCCAAGAATGTCTTGCAAGCTACATACACATTACAGTATAAGAAGCTGTTACAAACAGCTTCCCACTTAAAACCCCATGACATTCTTTTCTTCCTGTTTTAGCCAGTTTAAGCTGTTGCTGTTATCTTATTACACCCCAGTACCGTCTTTATCTTCATGGTGACTGAAGCCACCTTGTGTGTAGAGCATCAGGGAGCCCCGATCCTTTACTGAGGTCTGTTGGTGTTACTGTTGTACATGCAATAGTAACTGTTTGGAGCGCTCTGCTGGATAGTTCTTGTATTTCTACCCTGAATATTAATTAGACACTCTGCTTAGATGTCTGGCTAATTTACAAACATGGAAACGAAGGTTTTGTGCAGCATTTCTGCCGCAGCTCGAAGCAAAACGCTTCCCCTTCTCTCTGAGCAGCAGAGATGTCGCCACAGCGAGCTCCATGGCTTTGCGGCGACTCTCGAAACTGCCTCGTCCATGTTTTCAAGCTCCAACAAACCCTGATGAAACCCACCCGCCCGCTGGATATGACAAAAAGGAGCAGACTCAGGGAGACTCGGAACCCCTGGGGAAGGCAGGCAGGCCCCGGCATTCACCCACGCTGGCAAGACCAGGGGGCTCTGAAAGACTGCGGCCAGGTCCTGCTCAGCCCGCATTGTGACCCTGCTGAAGGCGCTGATGCACTTCTCCAGCCCGCGCTAGCCCAACCAACGCGGCTGGCAGGGCTGGTTTTACCCCGGGCCATACGGGATCTCGCCTGGGGCACCGCAGGCCGGTGGCGCGGTCACCCATCCAGCCCCGACCCTCCCCCAGCCCTGCTTAGCTTACGGAAAGAGACTGCGAGCGCTCGGCGCGGACCTCGGCGGCCCCCCCCCCCCCGGCCGGCCGCGGCCCCCCGGCCCCCAACACG